ATATCATTAAATTGCTTATAATCAATATATAGCCTAAGCTTGCTATTTTTCTTAAATATAAACAGAATAGAATATTCTGCTAGTAATTGCAATAATTATATATATTCTTTCTTAAGATTTTCATTAAAATACTTCTTAAGTACTTCTAGTTATGCTTTGTTTAATCTGTAAATAAGGAAGAATTTGAGCTATTTCTCTTCTTATAGCAGGATTTTGTGATTATATAAGCTGTATTCTAGCAATCTCGTATCTAATTCTTTCTGGAATAGTTTCTTGAACTTATAATATTCTTGTAATATATTCGCAAGTATTAGTTCTGATCTCTATGCTGTTTCTGCTATCTGGAGAAATAGTAGATATTATTAAGCATACTTCTTTTCTAATAGCATTTTCGAAAGCCTTAAGCATTCGCTTCAGGCCAGATTGAGCGCTTGAAAGCTTAGTTTTGAGGTTTTTCCTGTATAGATTCACAATTCACATTCTAAAGCTTTTCCTTGTTGCTCCGGAGCGGACTGATTTGCTAAGAGTTTTGCTTCCGTTGTTTTGCTAACTTATTAGCATTCTAGTACTATTTGGATTCGCTTATTACTAAATCCTTCTCTTTGAACTGCTAGCTCTGCTAATTTGAAGATATGTATAAAGTTGTTTGAAGCTTCTTTTTCTAAGTATTCTTCAATAACTAGCTTCGATTCTGCACTGCTAATTGCAACTATCTCTCTAAATATAGCTTATTCTCATAAGAGCTAGCTAGTAGTTCAATTGATTCGAGAATTGTACTTCTTGAGCTATGAAAGTTCTATAATCAGCTTATGCTATACTATATTTATAATATCAAAAGAAATCTGAATTGCATGTTTCTGAATCAAAATAGATAGATGATCAGTCTTCTTATCGATTACTCCTTAGTTGTATGCAACAGATTGTTCTTTTACAGTATTGAGAGTATATAAGCGCTTCTTTTATTTCTATTATAATTATGCTTAATTAACAATATATAGGAATATGAAGTTTCCCTAAGCATTACTATCTAATAATATGCTATATTTGTATTCTTGAATATATATATCAAACTTAATATAAGCATAATCTATTCTAGAAGCTTTATATAGAAACTATTCGAATCTGATTATCTGCAGTTCTTTTACAAGCAATCCTGTTCTTTTGAATTTATTAAGAGCTACTTATTCTTCTAAGCTTACTTCGCTACTTCTCAAGCAAGCTTCTTAGCTTGTTTTTGCTTATATTATCATTATTTCTAGTCTTTCTTCTATCAATATCAGTTACAAACTTTATTATTGATATAAATTGTACAGAGTATTATCTTACATTATTACTATTCTATCTTTTTATCTATACATTGTATAGAGCAATCATTCAGTAGCTTGATATATACATTATAGTATTATCTGTTGAGAATCTTTCTGAAGCGAAGTTTCTGTTCTTTAACAGCCTAAAGGATTTATTCTGATTCTCTAATAGAAAATCATTTGTATTGCACTTTATCCGAGAAATGCATTCTATAGCTATGATAGATGCAGGAGATTTAAGCTAGTTTGTAGTATAGATTGTGAAATAAGCTAACTCAAGAATCCTTATCTTGCTATACTTCAATGTTCTGCAAGGGAATACAGGTAAAGAGCTTCTTTAGTTCTATTTCATAGATGAGATATTCAATCTATATTATTTCCTTATTCTATCTAATGCTGAAGGGAAACCTTCCTGTAAGCTTCTTAAGTTCATTATTCACAGGAGATTCTAGTAAACCGTTAAACTGCTCATCCTAGTTTCATCTCTTTGCTATCTGAAAAGCGTTCTTATATTTATACCAGTAACTAAGAGAATATCATCTCTTATTCATATTCCTGATTATAGTACTTAGCATAAATAATGAAGAATGTTGAAGAGTATTATTACTAAATCCTTCTTCCAACATCTGAATGCTTTATTCTGCAATATCAAAGCAGTTCAAATTGCTACTTGTAGAAGTGCTAAGCATACATTCTCATTCTGCTATTGCTATTTATCTGCAGCATCTAGATTTCTAAGAAAACTATCCTGAATCTTCCTTATTCAAAAGATATATTAAGCAGTTATTATTATAATAGAATATTCAGCTGAGATTTTCATAATTAATAGAGTTTAATACTTGCTCTAAAAGAATATTTTTGCTTAGTTAATTGAATTTCTATTGTTAAGCAATATTTATCTAGTATTCTTTCTAAACTAATTGCTATTTATTTTTTCGGGATTAATAGCAGTTGCATATTATATATTCTTATTTATTGCAATTGTAGCAAGTAATATTATTCTTCTTGCTATACTGCCTATTAGCTGCATCGAGCTTTATAGAATCAGCATACATAGTACTGCTCTGAGCTATACTGCTATATTAATCATTATTCTTATTTTGAAGTTTCTTATTCATATTAGCTGAAAATCTCTAAATTTAGCTTTCTTTCTTCTTAAACTTCTCTATTTATTGTTTATATAGATAATTATTAATGCAAATAGCTTAATTGAAGAATATTGCAAAATTCTCTAGCTAATTCTATTTAGAGATTTCATTCTTAATATTATTCTTAAATTCCTTATAATAATATTCTATAAGATTCTTATCTTTCTATGAAAGTTTTGCTAAGAGCTGCTTAAACTTAACTATATAAGCAAAAGCTGATTTAGTTTGCTTGAGGTTTATAAGCTGCTAAGCTATAGTACATTCTTCATTAGAATTATCAAAGATCTCTTTGAAAGCTTTTTCAAAGCTTTCAAAGAAATCGAATATATTCTTAATACTCTGAGTATATACGCTGGAGTTATTCTAATGCTCCAAGTAATTATATAGAGAAAGCTTGTACTAAATAAGAGCATTCTTTTCAAGATAAATCTCTGCAAGAATAACTTTCTTAGATTTCTTAGTAAACTAAGTTTTGTAGTGCAGAAAATATGCTTTGCAGTAAATAAGGAATTTATACAGCATTTTCTAGTTGCTATTATATATAGCAAGCTTATTCATCTTATATACTTTTCCAGCGCTACTAATAGTTGCAGAGATAAACTGCGCCTGCTAAGCTTATTAAGCTAGCTAAGCTTGTTAATTAGCGATGATAGCGCTCTAAGCCTGCTGTTATTCGCACAGATTCTGAATACGCTGAATAAGCTAGTATACCTAGTTAATCAGTTCTTCCTGAGTAAGAGCGCGCAAGAACGAAAAGATTTCTAAAGAAGCTATTGTATTCCATATTGCTCAAGAGAGTAATACTAAACCATTCTTAAACAAGAATTATTAAAATATAATAAGCATTGCAATAATCCGAAGATTTCTAAGTATACAAGAAGTTTTATGCTAATAAGAGTAGTATCAAAATATCAAGTTCTTAAATACGAAATCATACAAGTTCTAATAAGCGATGCAAGTATTTACTGCTTTTGAAGCTATTCAGTATAGAAGACTGAATACTTAGATTAATAACTAAAGAGCTATATACAATGATCTGTCTAATGATAATGAATGTATAGTTATATATCCTGCTCTTCAGTATAGCTTGCTGATGCTTATTGAAGCTCACTGCTGCTCAGTGGTGCTCACTGGGGCTTACTGCTGCCCAGTAGTGCTTACTGAAGCTCGGTGAGCACAGGTGAGCTCTTCTGATTGGTTGGTCTGTAATCCTAACCCTGGGTTACGTAATCCTTGTGAGTTGTCTGATGTTATGTTATAATATCTGGTTCTTGTTTGCTTGTGACCTGTTTTCGTGATCTGCATGTTGGATGGGTTATAACAATAATGCATTAGAGAAATCCGTAGCTGTTATAACTCATTCAACATGCAGATTACGAAACAGGTTACGAGTAACAAGAATCAGATATCAAGAATCCAATGTTCTAACTAAACATTGATTACATAGCTTAGGATTAGAAATATAGCAGAGATAGATCACTGGATCATTAGATAATTCAGTAAGCTCGGATTATCTGAATCAGTAATAAGCTAAGATAAGCTATACTAAAGAGCTGAATATATAAGAACACATTCATTATTATTAAATAGATTCAATATATAGTTCTTTAGTTATTAATCTAAATATTAGATTACTCTCTTATTCTAATAGCTTCAAAAGCAGTAAATACTTATATAATTATTATAATTATATTTCTGTATTCAAAGCTTATACTTAGTACTGCTCTTATTAGTATAAACTTCTTATATACTTTGAAATCTTTGAATTGCTACAGTACTCATTACATTTTGATAATTCTTATTCAAGAATAGTTCAATATTATTCTCTTAAGCAATATGAAATATAATAGCTTCTCTGTAATGAGCACTGCAGCAATCCGAAGATTCCAAAGTACACAAAGGGGGTTTATGCTAACAAGAGCGGTATCAAAGTGCTAAGTCCTTAAATATGGAACTGTACAAGTCTCAATAAGCGATGCAAGTATTCACTGCCTTTGGGGCTATTAGAGTAGAGAGTAATCTGATATTTAGATTAACAACTGAAGAATTATCTGAAGGAAATCTATCTAACAGTAAGAAATATAAACCTTTATATATTTGGTTCTTCAGTTCTTGCTTGCTAGTAGTTATTCCAGATTATCATTGATTATTCTGAATTACTATTGATTACTGAGCGCTAGTGATTACAAATGATCGTCTTGTTATCTGATTGGTTAGGTTTCTGCAATTCTAATTCTTGATTATGTAAGCTTTAGTTCTTATGATATTGAATTCTTTCCTGTTTTTCTGAATAGTTGTTCCGGGTGTTCTGGCTGATGATCTGCATGTTGAATGGGTCATAATATCATCTCCCTCCTATCGATCGTTGTTTCTAATGATCTTCCGTAAGTATTCTGGCAAGTTATTCGCATGCGTGGTTATGTCTTCCTAATTCGTTATGTTGAACAGAATCTTGAATTCCTGCGTTAGCAAATCCTCTTCTGCTTCTGGTTCTTCTGTGGCTCTCTCAAAGCTGCACTTCCGTCGTCTCGAGCGTTTTTCGTATATCGAGTCTACTGGTTACGAGGTCATGCTGTGTTCGTTGTGTCTGGAAGAAGGGGTGCGGTGCAAAATGGTTGATGGGGTAAAGAGTTGTTCTCAGTGTACCAAGCGGGGTTGTTCATGTGACGCTGGCTGGGTTTCTATGTCCTCTCGTAGGTTTTTCTTTCCCTTCTTTTCTTTCTCTTTTTTTTTTTTTTTTTTTTGCTGATGGTATTATTTCAGTATTCCGTATTACTGATGAGTTGGTTCGTCTGAATGGTAGGAAGGTGGAGGAGGAAGAACGTCTGCTGGAACGCCAGCGAGAGTTAGCGGATGCTCAAGCTCGTCTTTCCGAGTCCTTAGGTCGTTTGTTTCGTTTGAAGAAGCAGCAACGCTTCCTTCAGGAGAAGGGGATAAAGCTGGTAAATGAGGGTCTGAAGGAGGAGGAATGGGAGCGCGTAGCTGCTGAGGTGCAGGCTGTAATTTCTGCAGAGCTTATTGCTGTTCCTATGAGTTCTTCCTCTGAAGGTTTTGACTGGAATTCCTTGAATGTAGGGAATGCAGTAGTAGATTGATCGGGTTTCCTGGAGAGCGAGGTCTCTGAGGTCTCTGGATTTCAGTTCAGGGCGGAGCGATCGTTTTAGGTATTAGCTTTTCTTTTCCAATATTCAGCTATCTTTTTCTGAGCATTTTTAACATTCTTTCATAGTTCTCATAAGTTTTCGCTTGCTGAATAGCTTTTCTATTTGATAAGATATTCTCTTATATTGTTTATGCTTCTATACTTAAGAATCTTTTCTATTTTGTATTCTGATTTATTATTCTCTACTTCTGCTGCATTATCCGTTAATATTTTCTATGCTGCTAATTCTAGTAATGAAATATAGAAAACTAGATATATTCTCATCCTATAAAATAATGCTAACTTATAATTAACTAAAGAAATCTGTTGCAAGATTTTGAATAATTCTAACTTCTTATAATTGAGCTTGTTGCTGAATCTAGTTGTTTTAATGTTTTTTCAAAGTAAGTAGATCTTATCTTCCTTCTATAGAATTAGTTTCTCAATTCTTTTGGAGTTTGCATACTGCATTATTCATTCTTGAATAAATTGTAATTCTAATTGGAGTTTTTTCTGAATTTTCTTAATCTTCTTAACTCTTTTATCTGCAGCTTCTGCATCTGCTCTTAGCAATGCTTTGTAATAAGCTGTTGGATTATATTTATAGAGTATAAAGAATAATAACTTCTTTATTATGCTCATATTTGTGCTATTATAAGCAAACTGTATAAGAAGCAATAAATTGATTTAATTGTTCTATTTCTGATTAATATAATATTGAAGGTACTATTTAATAATCTGATTTATTCTTTCTATTTATTTATCTGTTTGCAGATGAAATACTGTAAATATTCTGTAATATATTTCGAGCTGTTTTATAAGCAAAGTTCAAAACTTTGAGTTGAACTTTCTATTTTTGTTGGAGATTACTTCTTTTAGCATGCTATAGTTAGCAATAATTGTTCTAAGAAATGCATATGCGAATTCTTCTGCTATACTGCTTTTCTTATAGAAAAGAAAGTAAGTATACTTGCTTAGTTTGCAAACTATTACTAGAATGCTATTATATTATATCTTAGTTAAGAGTTCTTGTAAGAGAGATAGCTTAATAATAAAGTTTAGATTGATAGATTGCTAAATAGTTATAAATACTGATAAGAGGTGCAGTAGTTTGTAAGGCTTATATTTTTTTGCTTTGTTCTTCTTGCAGCTATTATATTGTTATAGAATATTTCCAATTCTTTTCCTAAAGCTTAATAAGTTCTAGTATTTTTTAATGCATTTATAAGTTATTCTGATTCTCTGATATTTGTATACTAATGCATTATATATATTCTTGATATAATTATTTTATTTATCTGGAGTTATTAATTCTGAATCTTTTTCTAAAAGTTCAATTCTGAAAGCAGCATTTAGTTCTCTATATATATTAATAAGATTTTCCAACTCATCTTGAGCAAAGATATTCTATATATCCGAGAAATCTGTATCTTGATAGTCTGGTTTTCTGCTAAGAGCATCTGCTTATTCGTTTTCTAAGCTTTTGTAGTATATAATCTTAAAATTGAACTGTAAAAGAAATTCTGCTTATTTAACTTATTGCTTATTCAAAACCTTAATTATTATAAATGTAGTTAGATTCTTATGATCTGAGTAAACTATAATCGGATATTATGCGCTAATAAGATAGTATTATTACTTCTTGAAAGCTTTTATTATTGCTATGAGTTTCTAATTAGAGATTTTATAATTGATTTTTGAGCTATTCAACTTCTTTAAGAAGTTGCTTATAATTCTTAAATATTCTTAGTTATTTTGCTAGCTAAGCTGTTCTTTGAATGCATATTCTGATATATTAGTCTTAATTTCAAAGGGTTTGTAGAGATCTGCTTTATATAGAACTAGTTCTGAGATAATATGCTTGATAATCTTGTTGAAAGCTTCTTATGCTTTGGAGATTTATTTGAAGGATTAATCTCTTTTGGTAAGATTTGTAAGAGGATATGCGATTTGGCTATAGTTCTTGATGAACTATCTGTAGAAGTTGATATATCTGAGAAAAGATCTAATATCTCTAATGCTTCTAAGAATTAGCTAGTTTCTGATAGCTTTCACTTTATCTTTCTGTAGCTTGATGCATCCTAGCTTAATTGTGAATCCGAGATAGTCGACTTTTTGTATATGAAAGTAGCTCTTTGCAGGCTCTACAAGAAGCTTTGCATCCTAAAGCATTTGCAACACTATTTCCACATATTTCTTATATTCTTTTAATATTCGAAAGTAAATAAGAATATTATTAAGATAAGCAATGATAAACTGATTCAGATGCTTGCATAGAATGTAATTAATCATTTTCTGGAATAAAGCTGGGATGTTTGTTAAACTAAAGAGTATAACCAAATATTCGTAGTATTCATAGCGTATTCTGAAAGCAGTTTTCCATTCTTCTTCTTCTTTTACTCTGATCAGATTATAAGCTCTTTTTAGATTTAGAACTGTAAATCATTATGCTTCTTGCAGCTTATCTCGTAATTTCTTAATGAGTAATAATGAATATCAGTTCTTAATTATAATATTATTAAATTATCTATAGTTAATATATAATCTAAGCTTGTTATTTTTCTTAGATATAAACAGAATAGGATATTCTGCTAATAATTGCAATAATTATATATATTCTTTCTTAAGATTCTCATCAAGATATTTCCGAAATGCTTCTAGCTGTACTTTATCTAGTTCGTAAATAGGAAAGAATTTGAGCTGTTTTCCTTTTTGTAGCGGAATTTCGTAATTGTATAAGCTATATTCCAATAATTCTATATTCAATTCTCTCTGGAATAATTTCTTAAACTTATGATATTCTTATAATATGTTTGCAAGTATTAATTCTAATTCTTATACTGTTTCTGCTATCTAAAGAAATAATAAGTACTGTTAAGCGTGCTTCTTTTTGTTCATTGTTTTTAGCAATATTTTTGAGAGCTTTGAGCATTTGCTCCGAGCTGGACTGAGCGCTCGAGAGCTTAGTTTCGAGGTTTTTCCTGTATAGATTTATAATTCACATTCTAAAGCTTTTTCTTATTGCTCTGAAGCAGATCAACTTGCTAAGGGTTTCGCTTCTGTTGTTTTGCTAATCTGTTAGCGCTCTAGCATTATTTGAATTCGCTTGTTACTAGATTCTTCTTCTTGAACTGCTAGCTTTGCTAACTTGAAAGTATGTATGAAGTTGTATGAAGCTTCTTTTCCTGAATATTCTTCAATCACTAGCTTTAATCCTGTGCTGTTGATTGTAACTATCTCTCTAGATATAGCTTGTTCTTATGAGATCTAGCTAGTAGTTTAATTGATTCGAGAATTGTGCTCTTTGAGCTATAAAAGCTCTATAATTAGCTTATGCTGTGCTATATCCGTAATATTAAAAGAAATCTGAATTGCATATTTCTGAATTAAGATAAGTAGATAATTAGTTTTCTTATTGATTACTTCTTAATTATATGCAACAGATTATTCTTTTATAGTGCTGAGAGTGTATAAGCGCTTTTTCCATTTCCATTATAATTATGCTTGATTAATAATATATAAAGATATAAAGTTTCTCTAAGCGCCACTATTTAATAGTATGCTATATTTATATTCTTGAATATATATATTGAACTTGATATAAGCATAATCTATTCTAAAAGCTTTATATAAAAACTATTCTAATCTAATTATCTGCAGTTTCTTTATAAGCAATTCTATTCTTTTGAGTTTATTAAGAACTATTTATTCTTCTAAGCTTGCTTTGCTGCTTCTTAAGCAAGCTTCTTAGCTTGCTTTTGCTTATATTATTATTATTTCTAATCTTTCTTCTATTAATACTAATTACAAATCTTATTATTAATATGAATTATACAGAGTATTGTTTTATACTGCTATTATTTTATTTTCTTATTTATATATTGTATAAAGCAGTTGTTTAATAGTTCGATATATGCATTGTAATGCTGTTTATTGAAAATCTTTCTGAAGCAGAGTTTCTATTCTTTAATAGCCTGAAGAATTTGCTCTAGTTCTCTGATAGAGAATTATTCATATTGCATCTTATCTGAGAAATGCGTTCTGCAGCTATAATAAGTACAGAAGATCTATACTAATTTGTAGTATAGATTATGAAGTAGATTAATCTAAGGATCTTCATCTTATTGTGCTTTGATATCTTGTAAGAGGATGCAGATAAAGAGCTCTTTCAGCTCTATTCTGTAGATGAGATATTCAATCTATGTTGTTTCCTTATTCTACCTAATGCTAAAAGGAAATCTTTCTTTAAGCTTGTTAAGCATATTATTTGCAGAGAGCTTCTGCAAACTGCTAGATTATTTGCTCTAGCTTGATTCTTCTATTGCTTGAGAAACATTCTCTATATTGCTTAGATATTTATACTAATAGCTAAGAAGATATTATTTCTTATTTATATCTCTGATTATGATGCTTAGCATGAATAATGAAGAATATTGAAGAGTATTATTACTAAGCTCTTCTTTCAATGCTTGAATACTTTGTTCTATAATATTAAAGCAATCCGAATTGCTACTTATAGAAGTATTGAGCATATACTCTTGCTCTGCTATTGCTATTTGTCTGTAGCGCTAAGGCTTCTAAGAGAATCATTCTAATCCTTTCTTATTCAAGAAGTGTATTAAGCAGTTATTATTGTAGCAGAATATTCAGCTGAAACTTCTGTAATTAATAGAATCTAATACTTGCTTTGAGAGAATGTTTTTGCTTAGTTAATTGGATTTCTATTATTAAGCAATATTCATCTAGCATTCTTCCTGAACTGATTGTTATTTGTTTTTCTAAGGTTAATAACAGTTGCATATGATATATTCTTGT